CACTTGATTTGTTTTTGGATCAATTTTAAGGGCATACTTTTCATTTAAGTGAAATGTATACTTAGCATTTGAATTGTGTATTCTACATATGTTTAAGTCACAATTAGGGGGTCCAAGATTTGGACCCGGACCTGACCCGTGCGGGTCCAATTTGTAGACCTATACCCGGACGCAGAGCGGGGTCTATCCCTCGGGTCCGGGTCCTTTGCCAACCCAAGTCACAATTATGAGTAGAGATACATCACATTTAACTTAAAATACTACCTATAGAGGCTTTAGGGTAGGTACTCATCAAGAAGGACACCACAAAGTGTGTGTTTAGACTCACCTACTTCTAATCAAATTAAACATAAATCTATTTCTACAAAAAAATATTTTATTGCCACTTTAATTGAAGTATATAACATGAAAGGAAACTCTTGCCCTAATAAATAAAAATAATAGCGTATCTTTATCCAAGGAGCAAATAGATGATTATACACTTAAAGAGAACTTCCCATCCTTTTGAAGAATTATAATATTCAATGCAGCCCTAATCCCTAAATTTTAAAGATTTAGTATTTCGAAAACATAGGATTTGTGTATTTGATGAAAAGAAATAGCCTAGTTTGTTTTTGGATTATACTTAAGGGTTATAAGCCCCTCATACATGTCTATAATACTATTTGAGTTCTTACTAATTCTCCTTATATTAAGCGATAATTAAAGAATCAAAATAACTCTCTCTGTGCCTAAAAAAAATTACCATCCTAAGATTGAACTAAGAACCGTCCAACTTTAGATGGGAAGATATAGGTGTATATCACGCCCACCGTGGGGTTCGAACCCACGACCACAAGGTTAAGAGCCTTGCGCTCTACCAACTGAGCTAGACGGGCTTGATGCTTGGTGTTGCACAAATGTATAATTATCTTATAATAGATATGGTACTAAACATCTGCCAACAGTAAATGATTCAAAGTCATTTGAGTTGAAAGACTCAGTTATCCTAGTTTTTAAGTTTCCATTTTTTTTTTTAATGCTAAAATAGTCCATTCCAAATAAGGAATCACACGAGTCAGACATGGAGTATGAGCATCATACACTATTATGTAGGAGCATAATTCCGATTTTTGAAACATTGGCCTACATAAATTTGCCAAGCACACTCTTTCACTTGGGATTTACCAAGGGATTAGCACCACATTTTGAAAGGACAACTTTCTCTAATCGTGTCTATCACAGTAATATCATTTTAATTGGGCAAATAGAAATGGAAACTAATAAATTTATGAGGGCGCAATCTCTCGATCTCTTTCACCCAAACTAGGTATAAAGACAAATATGTTCACTAACAATGTAACCTATTGTTAAGTATGGTTTGGGTAGATCAAACTTTTGGATTGGTCGAGGTTCTGGGATGGACACTTCTCAGATATGGAGAAGATTGCGCGTGTATCGCCCATGGTTGCATATTACTTTAGATGGTCGATTGGGAGTGGAAATGAAGTTTCTTTTTGGCACCATACGTGGATGGGTGATTATTCCTTCAAGTCCTTTTTCTCAGATTTATTTGCCATTGCTTTAGACCCCAATGCTAAGGTGTGTCAACTGGTTGAGAGAAGAGGGGCCTCTTTATCATGGAATCTTCCCTTGAGGTATACCGGGCTGAATAATAATTTATTTTCACAATGGTGTGCGTTGATGAAACTACTTGATACAACCTATATTGCAACAGATGTGAGAGATGAAATAGTTTGGGCAATTGAAAATGATGGTATCTTCCGCGTTAAGTCTTGCTACAACCTTCTCTTCCATGATTGGTGGAGATGGTCTTACCCCCAGGTTGCTACTTTTTGGAAATGGCCAATACCCTGCAAAGTCCAAGTTTTTATCTGGCTGGCCGCACTGATGGTGAATTTACTACGCATTTGTTTATACATTACCCGGTTACGAGCTAAATTTGATATTGGTTGTTTGGACTGATCAATACTAGTTTGGCCTTACCATTAGCGGTTGATGGGATCGTGACGCAGTTGTCTTTACCACACTTGCCGATGGGCGGTCAGACGCTATGGAGTATAGCAAGAAGGGTGATTCTATGGGAAATATGGAAAGAAAGAAACAAGTAGACATTTGAAGGAATTTCTCTTTCTTTAGAATGTTTGAGTCATTCAATCAAATTGTCCATCTGGTCATGCCTATCTGTTTCTAAAGAAGGTTGGGGTTTATCAAAGATTGATGTTTTGGCTAATTTGGGCAATCAATTTCTTCTTGGTTCCTGTAATAGCCGACCAAAGTTAAGTTGGGTAACCCCATCTTCTGGTACTTTTAAACTTAATTTTGATGGCAGTTCCCTGGGCAATCCTGGAAGGGTTAGTATTGGTGGAGTGGTGAGGGATTGTTGTGGCAATACTTTATTTTCCTTTGCAGGGCCAATCGAATGTGCAACAACAAACTACGTTGAGATGTGTGCATTTTACCATTGTCTGAAGATTTTTGGCGAAAGAAATTGTGGGGAGATGTGTTGGATTGAGGGGGATTCTCTTAATGTCATTAAGTGGTGCAATAAGGAGCAACGGGTTCCTTGGAACCTTCGTTCTCTGTGGTTACGCATTTTGGATCTGGTTGCTCCCCTCACGGTTACCTTCTCATATGTTTACGAAGAAGCTAATTCGGTTGCTGATGAGTTGTCTAAGGGGGGCGCTCTTTTACCTTCTCTTGTTATCTTTGACAATATAATTTCCTTTTCATAGTGCTAATAAAAGTAGTAACATTTGTCAAAAAAAAAAAAAATGTAACCTATTGTTTGCATAATAAAATATTAAAAATATTGATCAAAATACACGTCATTTTTCAACTATTTAACAATTTATCTTTTTTACTTTTCTACTTTTTCAACTCAAAGTTCATGTGTATCTAGATAGGCATTTTGAAATTGAATCACACAAGTAAAACTTTAAGGTAAAGTATATAATGAGATCGTTTACCTTTGATATAAGGTGATCACAATTAATCTTGACCATTGGATGTAAAATTGGGTGGCTGTATTTATTTCATTGACCAAATTCAAAGGTCAAAATAAATTTTTTTGAACTTTGTGATACACCTAAGCTATCAGATTTTACATCGAATGGTTATAAGTAATTGTGACCTCCCTGTACCAAAGGTAAATAGTCTCATTGTATATGATCTCAAACTTTAAATAGTTAATATGTTAGATGTATTTTGACAAATTTCCCTAGGATTAATGTATTCAAAAGTTTGCCCAAACAAGCCATGAAGGACAAATGCCGATGTTGCATGAGTTTGTTACTGTTTTCACGCACACATAACACTTTCTCCATACGATATTTGCACCCTTCGATATTGTGATTGATGTACATAAAAAAAGGTAATTCGCCCTCGGGATACAAGAAAACATGAGGTTCTCTTTTTCGATGCTGCAAGCTCTATGCATCCGAGCTTGAAGGCCACTGTAAAACACAAAAGTTATGTATTCTTAAAAAAAGAAAGTAAAAATGCGTAGAGATAGAGGAATGTGTGCTTTTGTTCTTGCTGTTTAGAAGTTCGCAGAGAGAATTATGTGTTTCTCGAATAGGAAAGAGCCAATTATATAGAACTCTAAGATGCTGCATAATTATTATGAAATCGTTACATACAACACCAACAATCATCTGCTACATACACCTCCTTTAATCTCGATGACCATGCTTATAAAAAGATATCGAGCCCTAAGATTGACCCCGACCCGTGCGATGATGAGGGTGTATGTGTGCTACACGTGCTACTTAAATAAGCAAACCACCCTTAAACCTCTTTCACTCTAGGTGACTTTTACCTATATCAATGTTTAAACACCTAGATTGGTAGGGAGAGTTGGCCATTCGAGAAACATGCTTGGGTTGGTAAATTGCTGATCTGGATTAGCGACCCGACTGAGAGAATTGGCGAAAAAAATAAAAACTTTAAGAACAAAATAAAAGATAAAAAAAATAAAATGTGGAGCCAGATCGAGTGGTTCCCTAATAGAATCAGTCGGTTCCCTGATAGAACTGGCTAGTTCCTAGTGAGAGTACTCAGTTCCTAATATATTCAAGGAACTGGGATGGTCACATCAATTCTGGGGTTAGAAAGGGTGATTCGGGTCCAATGATTCCAAATGCGATCCGGCCATTTTTTAAAACATTGTCCTATATCAAAGGTGCTATAGGACTCTCAAAGGTACCTACAATATATAGACTTACAAATATTTAAAGGGTTATGTTAGGGTGCTTGTAGTAATTTATCATCGTACTCAATAAATTTTAAACATTTATATATCTTTGTTTTGTACATGGAATATTTTTTTAATAAAGGTATTTTTTTTTATTAGGAAGGGTGTGATGTTATCAGCATTGGGTGTGACATAACCTACATGAAGTAAGGTATTTAATACTCTATATGGGTGATGTCACACCCCATGTAGATGATAAATTAATGATTATAGATGCCCTTATTAAAATAAACTTCATGTACAAAATAAAAGTATAAGTGCTCAAATTTTATTGAGTATAATGATAAATTAATCAATAGTGTGAGCACCCTAACATAACCCAAAATTAAAATAATTTTAAAATAACAATATTTTTTTATAAATAGAGTAGAATGACCTATATTTTAACTTTTTTATAATCAACAGCATGTTACATAATAATGATGTTCACCTTTTGCATATTTAAAGTGGGGAATATAATTTAGCATGAACCTTTTCTTATCTCCATGTAGTATTGCAAAACCTGGCGATTCAGATTAGAAATCCATAATCTTGGAACACGTGAAAAAAAAAACCCAACAGGGACATTGCCTAAATCTGTAACAAGTAGCTCTCAAAATAGTAAGCAACTTTTTTTTTTTTTGTTTTGGGACAAAAATCACATCTTTAACAAATCAGTTACATTTTTAACTGACTAATCCAAACCGTTACTTCCAAATAACATTTTAAGTCTCTCTGTCTAACAAATAAATAAACAAATAACACGCTCTCTAAAACGCAAAGCCCATTCTTCATTTTGACATCGTCATATTCAAGGAATACTCCATTGCCGTCTCTCTCTCTCTCTAAAAGGCACAGGCCTTTCTTCAATTTATTCACAAAATCCATTGCCTTCCGTCTCTCTCTCTCTCTCTCTAAAAGGCATAGGAGTTTCTTCAATTTATTCACAAAAACTCCATTGCCATCTCTCTCTAATGCTCAAAGCCTAAAGCACCATCTTTCCTCATTCTTCCTCTTTACTGCCCAATCTCTCTCCAAACCACAACAAACCCACCCTGCTCTCTCTCTAGACTGCAACACCCTCTCTAGGCCACAACAAACCCACCTTCTTTCTCTCTCTAGCCCTGACATTTTTTGGCTTCAGTCCTTTACTTTTTCTTTGCATTCCTCAGAAGTCCTTTCCCTCTTCACGAGTCACTTTCTCTCTCTCAACAAGACAACAAACTTCCTGGTCCTGGTAACGGTCCATCGTTTCTCTCTCTAATATCCTCTCTCTCTCTCTCTAGGAACACATGTCTCCTGCTTCTCAATCCACGTACGCCACCATACCCATCTCAAACGGCAACCCCATCTCCCTCTCTCTCTCTAACCTCCTCTCCTACTACTCCATCAACCACAAGCCATGGCCGGAATTCCTCTCCACCGCAGCTTTCCGGCGGCCTGAAAACTTGTCCGGCGCCCTCTCCAGGCTCCGGACAAACGCCATATGCTTCCGGGTAAACTACGCCGTGCTCATTCTCTCCATCGCATTGATCAGCCTCATCCAATGGCCGTTATCGCTTCTCGTGGTGGCGGCGATCTTGGCGGGATGGCTCTTGCTGTATTTTTTTAGGGAGGATCCGTTAGTGGTGTTTGACCGTGGGATCAATGATCGGACGGTCCTGATTGGGCTGGTAGTGATCACTTTGGCTGGACTGTGGTTAACTGGGGTGGTTGCAACTCTGGTTGGGGCTTTGGGAATTGGGGTTTTGATTATGGGGGTTCATGCCATTTTTAGAGAATCAGAGAGTTTGTATATGAATGAGGAGGAAGCTGTATCAGAAGGGTTGATTGGATCAAGAAAGCCTGACTTTGTTTAGACTTTAGCGATTGTGACTGGCTTTTCATTGATTTTTTTAGTTGATTGGGTTTGATTGGTCTTTGTATTGGGATTTTGATGGAATTGGGTTGGTTGGTTTTTTGTGGATTTTGTTGAAATTGGATTTGTTGGTTTGGTTTGAATTTTGTTAGAATTGGATTTTACAGGGATTTTGATTGTTGGGATTTCTGACATTTTCAGAGAATCAGAGAGTTTGTAACTTTGTATATGAATGATGAGGCATTGTATCAGAAGGGTTGATTGGATCAAGAAAGCATGTATTTGTTTAGACTTCAGAGATTGGGAGTGGATTTTCATGGATTTGTTGGGTTTTTAGTTGATTGGGTTTTATTGGTCTTTTTTGTGAGGATCTTGATGGAAATGGTCTTGGATGGTTTTTTGTGAATTTTGTTGAGAATTGGTTTGGTTGGCTCACTTTGAATTTTCATAGAACTGTGTTTGAATGAATTTCAGGTTTGAATTGATTATAAAGATATTTTGATGTTCACAGGGGTTGGAATCTTGATTATTGGGTTCATGCCATTTTAGAGAATTAGAGAATGAGGACGAGGCTGTATCCGAAGGGTTGATTGTATCTGAAGGCATGAATTTGTTTGGAAAACGGAATAGAGTTTTAATAGATTTTAGTGAGTTTTTATTGGATTGGGTCGGGTTGGTTGCTGTTGTAGGATTTATATGGAGTTGGGTTGGGTTGTTTTTTTGTGCATTTTGTTCAAATTGGGTTTAGTTGTATTTCGGGGTTGATTTGATTGAAGGGCTTTTGTGCTGTTATTTGATGTGGTTTATGATGAATTATGTTGATTGTAAAGGTGGGGTTATGTCCTTTAATGAGTTTTTCTGGTGTTCTTTATCCTTTTATTCTTATTTCTTCTGTGTTTTGGTTTTGATGATTAATGCCAGAATGAAATAGTTGTTGTTATTGTGATGATTCATTTGATATTTTGACTTTTGAAGGTTAATTGAAAGTAAAAGTGCAACTTTTGAAAATAAGCTTGTCACTATTGGCCCTAAAAAAAAGATAGACAATAAGCTTGTCACTCGTGCCCAAGTCCTGGTTCAAATTTGATGGGCACTTTGATCTCTGATTATTTGATGCGAGAGAGAGAGAGAGCATGTTTTCAATAAAAAATGGTGGCATCACACAGAGCCTCACTAGAGTACAAAGTACAAAAAAACAGAGAGTAAAGAGGAGTTCAGACTTCGGGGATAGTGATTCTTGATATTTTATATCTAACCTGAAAAATTGTTTGGATCACTGCCTATTGAAACATCTTCCAAACTCTATTAATATTCTGAGACAGACAATTAATGGCATCAGTTTATAGAAGAATTAATAAATAGCAAATCAGTTCTCACTTGAAGTATTACAGTGAATTTTACAGCAACACTAAGCTTTCATTCCTCAAAGTGAATGGGACATCTTTTACTATTAATCCTCTTTCTGAATTACAATACACATTAGTCATGTTTATGTGATGATTTGTAAGTGAGCCTGCTTCAAATCACCAAAGTTTAGTGAGCTTACAGACTACTATTTTCACTCAAGAATTCATGGTAAATGTGATGCCAATTCCAAAACACCTTGTAAAAGATAACTGATTTTCATAAATCAAAACAAATCTCTCTCTCTCTCTCTCTCTCTCTCTCTCTCTCTGATTTGGGGAAGAAACTTTTGATTTCTTCTCTCATTTGGATGTAATTCAGCAGTCTAAAACGAAAAAACACAAGGAAGACAGTGGAAGAGAGGGAATTCACATCTATTCTCTTACACTGTAACAATTTGTAGTAATAAGCTAAAAACAAGACATAAATAGAGAAAACTCAGTATTTATAATCTCATATTTTATGTCTAAATCTCACCAATTTAGCCAAGGTTTCCTGTGCAGCCAAGGTTTGGGCATGGTGATGACCTAACATCACAGTCCTAATACTGATACAAGTCCTGCAAAGCTCCTCTCCATTATCAAACTGACCCCCTCTAAGTAAAAGCTTAGATCTGGTCTCGAGCAATGTAGCCTTAAGCAAAGTAACATCTTGCCACACAAATTCATCCACTCTCTGGTTCGATTGTGTCTTCTTCTTTTTCCAACAAAAGGAGCCGTGGCACCAGTCTTGTATCTGAGAAACAAATGATTTCTCGACCTCTTCGAGCTGGTTTGTGCAAGTTTTTAGAAGCTCCAGAGTAGCATTACACCTTGAGAAAGTAGCAAAAGCTCTAATGGCAAGAGGAAGCACGATTCTCTTAATGAATCGTACCAATTCCATGGGTTTTAGCTGAACTGTAACTGGTTCTGATCTGAACCCGAAAACCCAAAAACAGGCAGCCCAAAAATGGTCAGAAGTTTCAGCAAGATTTCCCATTTTTAGCAAGCCCTGAACCATGGCTTTTGGAGCTGGTAAAGGCCCTCTCTTCCTTGAGAAAGATTGTGTGATCTCATGGAGTTCGATATGGCACACAGGTTCTTTCTTGGTTCTTCTTGCTAGACCCAATCTCACGAGAAGAAGAGCTGAATCAGTTTCAGTTCTTCTGGTTTGTGATGCCAAGCAGCAATTACAGCAATAACAAAGAATTGTGTTCAAGCATTTTTCCCATTGATGAAATGGGTTTCTCGCTGATGAGACCTTCTTAGCTGCTTCTGCTAAAAGTGTTGCAGAGATTGGTCTTGGAGCAAACCAACCTCCTGCTAAAGCCATTCTCCAAGCCAGGCTCTTAGTCCCTTGACTCTGCTCTAAAACACCAAAAGAAAACCCCAATACTCTCACCAAAAATGGGTTTTTCTTGAATATCTGATCATCCATTGTAGAAGTTGCAGAGGGGGGAGAGTAGTTCAAGTTTATGGGGACCTTCTTGATCGTTTCAAAGAGAGATGTAGGAGAGAGAGAGAGCTCGGATAGAAGGGCGCCAATTAGTCCTAACCCAAAACTGAGCCACCCCAATTCATCTCCCATTCTTCTCAAAACGTCCAATTCCTCAGATGGGTACCCTTTCTTTCTCTTTCCCTCCATTAAAACTAGAGCTTCAGCCATTGGCAATGGAGAAAGATGCATTGGTTTGAAGCTCACAACCTTAGAGAGCCTGGTGGTTATAATAACATGGGTTGCACCTGTATTGTTAGGAATAAGTTCGTGTAATTCTCTCCCATCCCACCATTCCTTTTCGGATTCGAGGTTATCAATTATGAGCAAATAAGGCACATCTCTGAATAACTCTCTCTTCACCCTCTGGAATGCCTCAAATTCTTGGTCTTCAAAGCTCGTTATCCTGGTTCTCTCATTGTGTTGTGTCTCTGCACTCACATCCAACCCCAAATTTACAGAGAGATTCATTATACTTTGCCTGAAATACCTTGCTTCTCCACCAACCCACAAAACCATCTTGTATCTTTGAGAGTATCTATAAGCAAATTCAAGAGCAAGCTCAGTTTTTCCTATACCTGAAGCTCCACTGATACAGGCCACAGTGCTATTAGAAGGGAAGAAAACATGTTCTGATCTGCTCAAACTCCTGTTTCCATGTCTTGTTTTCTTGTGCTTATGCCTATGGTGATGTGGGCTTTTACCCCTGTTTGTGAGCTCCATTGCCGGTTCTATCCATGCTTCTAAAGTTGGTTCCTTGCATTTCCTCATCTCTAAGCTGATAAATCTCCCTCTAGTTCTCATAGTATCAGCTTCTTCATCTAGAGATACTCGACTGGAACCCCCGCTAAATCTGGATTTTGGGTGGTCGTCTTCTTCTGCTAAACCTGTGATACCAAAGAATGCAGCTTCTATCTCTTGCAACTCTTTCTCTCTCCCCACAAAATCATTGTTTCTAGGGAAAAAAAACTCCTCCAAATATGGCTCCTTTTCTTCAATACTCTTCCTTCCAAGCTTGGACTTTAAGATCCCAACTGTTCTTGAAATACAGGCCCTCCAATTGCCATCGCAGGCTTCAAGCTTGAACTCATGAGCTCTGATCAGCCCCTCAATCGCTTCCTTCCATTCTCTATCTAGCTTCTCGCCAGATTTTCGGTCTAGAAACCCCGCTATCTCACTAGAATCACTATCAAAAAGAACAGGGACCAAGTTCTTCCTTTGAGAGAAAATCCTGATCTCCTCAATTGTAAAAGCATTCAATAGTGCTCCTCCAGTAATAACCACCACCCCAAATGTGGCCGAACAAATAATTCGATCAGCTGTCTCATGGCTTTGAGAATCTGAGTACTTGGATCGATCAGCCCCAAAACAAGCTACCCCATGAAGCTCAAGCTCTGATTTCAACCACTTAGAAAACCGAATGAGATTTAGGTTTTGGCCATGATAACCAATATAGACATCATGGCTTCTGAGCTTTGTATTTGTAGAGGGAGAAACCGAGGTCCTAAATGAAATCCGAGGGACTGGAAATGAGAATGAGACTCGAGGGGCATTTGGATCCGACCCAATTACAGGAATTTTGATTATCTGATCAGTCAGGTCATCAGATTCTATTGGTGGGGTGTATGAAGAGCTTGGTATGTCATCGGAAACAGGGGATCTTGGTATATCAGATGGGGTATTATTTTCAGGTAAGGCTAAAGCTCTTGGTGATATATATGGAGATTGTAATGCTGAGACAAAGGCAGAGGATGGAGGAGAGATGAGAGAAGGAGAATTGTATTGAGAGTTTTCAGGTGATATTTTGTTATTTGGATTATCTGAAGTCGATAATCTGATGGTTAGGGGCTTGGGTGCAATGTGGGGATCTCTTGAATCATTGATTGGAGAAGTTGAGAGGGAAAGTTGGGTTGATGTTGCATCCATTTAGATAGAAAAAGATCTGTGAGAGAGAGAGAGAGAGAGAGAGTCAAGGTTTGAAGCCAATGACTAATAGAGAGAAGATTAATTTGAGGAACTTAGAAGAACTTGAAAGAAGCAGAGCTACCATTTCAAAGTGGTTCCAAAGAGATTTAAACAAAGAAAAGCTTTATGAGAGTGTATACTGTTAACTAGTTTTTCGATACTTTCATATTGGAAAGAGATATTTGGAATCCTTCAATCCATGGAAAGAGGTTTTTGTGCAGCACTGGTGAAGTCCCATAAATAGAAAGCACCAAGACAGTTTCAGTTTGGTAACTCTTTTCTCCTTCCCAATATAGGCAAGTATACCAGAGGTCTTCTTATTGTTTGTTTTCTGCAACAATTGTGGAACACAAAAGAAATTTAGACCAGAACAGTGCCCATATTGGCATTAGATCAAAAGACCCAACATCAAAACTAACAAGAGAGAACTCATTGTAACTTCTAAATCTGGATCTGATACGATCCCATTAATTGAAAAGAACAATATAAATCTAATTGTTGCACACTAAGTAGGCCCTTTTGCAATGATAAGAAACTTCATAAAAAACCCACGAATTAAAGAGAATACAAATTTCACGAAACATCAAAAGATGCCATCTTTCTCTGATATCATACCATTTGTGGAAAAGAATTGCAGAACAAATCACCATTAAACACCAAGAGATAACCAGCATATATACCTTTTACAATTAAGTTTCACTCCATTCTTGGGGGAAAAGTGCAGGGTTTCAGCCATTCCCTGCTCATGAGAAGAAACTTTTCAGCAAGGAAAATGGCGGCCGTCCAACCCTAAAAAACCAGGAATGGCCACCATATTCCACTCTGTAAAAACTCAAAAAACAGGGAATCTATCATGGGTTGGATTTGTATTAAGAACTGAGGTCCAGCTACAATCTAATGACCTATCAAAAGGACAGGGCACATATTTATATGTATATCACTATATATATTGATAAGAGAGAGAGAGAGAGAGGTTTTTCTTTGCTTGGTTCTTTGGAGAGAGATATGGGTTTTTCTATACTTCTTTTACAGAGGCCAAGGCATGGTCAGGGCAGGGACTGAACCAGGCTTTGGGAAGAGAACCTGGGGTCAGAAGTTGCTGGGTTTTTGGGTTCAAAAAATCAGAAAAAAACAAGGGAAGATAACATGAATCAGAATAATAAAATGGTAGAAAAGGAGGGCCAATATGCCTCATATTGTCTCTGTGTACTGTAATTTTGCAGTGGGGCTTTACACTGGAAATTGGACCATGACCAGTCCAAACCCACTCTCACCGTTTTCAAACTTGAAACATTTTTTTGTTTAAGTTTTCTTACTCTCTCTCTCCCCAACGAGTTTCAGTTTTTTATCTCCTCAATGAATTCCATTCGTCTCTTTCTCCAATGAGTTTGCACCCCTCTCTCTATGTGCTGTATTTCTCTCTCTAAGTTGCTCTCCTCTAATAATGTCCATCGTCTCTCTCTACCCAGTTTTATTCACTCTGTTCTGTCGCTTCATCTTCATTCATCTCTCTTCAATTCAGCTCTCTCTCTCTCTCCTAAATCATATTTTCATGTCAGTCTCTCTCTCTAAAGTCTAAACTCACGTGTTGTCTCCTATCGGTTCTGATTGTACATGCTTAGTCAACATGTGAGGACCCACAAACCTTTTTACTTCTCTCAATAAGTGGCACAATACCAGCCAACTGAATTGAACGGTGGGTCCATCATTTTAGATCTTTATTGCTGACTTGGCCGTCGACATCCATTAGGTGTATGAATGGTAAGAAGTCGTAGAGAGAGAAAGTCCGAGAGAGAGAGGACCAAGCCTAACTCGAAAAGAAAAAAAAAAAAAAAAATTCAACTCGAAAGAGAAAAAAAAAAAAATTATTGAGAGAAAAAAAAGATTTTATTTAAAAGAAAAATATGAATGCATTTAATTTCATACATTGATAGGAGATTGAAAGAGAGAGAGAACCGTATTCTTGAATCATTGTTAATGAAAGGAGCGAGAGAGGACTGTATTCTTAAACCATTAGAGAGAGCACTATATTCCCAAATAATTGTTGAGAGAGAGAGAGAGAGATCCTAAATAATTGTTGAGAGAAGGTGAGGAGAAATGGTCTCTACTGAACTAAGCTGTACTTTCTCAACTCAAAAGACAATTCATTTCTAACAAGAAGTTGCATTTAAAGTTTTAGATTTTGAACTTTAAAGAAGATTATTTTGTTCTCTTGAAGAGCGCCCATATTATTAAATTTTCTTTCTCTAGGTCCAAACACGACAATTTGTGTTCCCTCGGCATTTTACAAAGAAAAAGAAAGAGACCATTCATTGATTAATGGAAAAGTGAAAGCCTTCCATTTTTTTTGAAAATGTCCAACATCTCTCTCCCTCCTATATGCAGCTGGCTTTTTGAATTTACTTCATCTTTTTAAGCTTTCTAGAGACCATAAATTGGGAATCATTGCACCCTTTTCATACTTTATTTCATGTGTTTTTTTTTTAGTGTTCAAACTTCATCTGATATATATTATATTAACTTCTGTCATCGGTTTGATGAATCTCATTTGGCAGTGAGATTATGGGCGGAAAGTTCAATAGTAAACAACACTACTAAACATCAAAAGACAAGTTTATGGTTATTTTATTAGTAAAACCATTAGAATACAACTCATTAGATACAGCTTGGAGCCATTTTAAAACTAAAACCACAACCATAATAATAATAATAATAATATCATGATCCACAGAGGCTCCAATAAAGAATCTGCTCTAAAAGGAGGAAAATGATGCCCACTTTTTGTGAGATGGACGATATATTGGTGTCTTTCTTTTGTGTGAGATGATCAGACATCCAAGTTTGAATAGTACATTGTCTAGAAAAAAGAAATCAGCTGCCAACTCGGGCAACGGGTGATCCGAGTCGGGATGCAAACAGCCGATTATTATCGCTTATTTTGGTCCTTGGGAATCATCCGGTAAAAAAAAAAAAGAGAGGAAAAGATCACCCTTGGACTAGGGAATCCCTTGTTCACCACTCACCAATAGTGAACCAGGAGGTTCACTATGATGAACCCCCGGTTCTAGACAACCTATACTAATTCTTGCGCTTTGGAGTCGATCCGGAATAGGGAAACTAGTTCGAGCCAATAGGCAATTCTGAATTAGCTCGTCAATTTTTGAGACAATGTGATTTTACATTTGATATGAAACCACAAATTCCTAAATGATACTGATAACAATAATAATAAGGAAAAGGTTATATAAGGTTGCAACCTTAAAATGTAGAATCACATATGCACTTCAAAAATCTATTAAAAGTGTTGTTTTAATGTTGAAAAAGTCTTCTAATCAATAATCTCGACATCGAGATCTATGAATATGAAAAAAAAAAAGTTTTTGAATCCCAAAAATAGTGCATCTTGCAACACATTATCTAGACCGTCCATTTTCAAGCTTTTTATATATTTATAGATCTACTTAATTTTAACCATTTTTTGAATTTAAAATTTTTAATTACGTATGAAAATAGATTTTAAGATAATAGTAAGAAATTTTTATAACAAAATTACATGTTATTATAAAATTTTAAGGTGCGCCTTAATTGGATTGTTTAAGGTTGCAACCTTATAGAAACCGCGTACATAATAATAACCATAACAACAACAGCTACAAATACAACAATAACAACAACAACTACAAATACGACGATAATAACAACAACAATAAGGAAAATTTACCAAAAAAACAAAAAAACCTCTATAGGATGGAAATTTAAGAAAAGGACCATGCATTTTTATTGTAATCTCAATTCCCACTTTTTTTATCCCCAAGTCACAATTTTGAACATTAGATGTTTGAACATGCTTATTTCTGTTTTTCTAAGTGGTAGACTGGTTCTAGAATCTATTATCTAAACTGGGGTCCCATTTCCAAAAATATAAGTGGGCAGGTTTAAACATTGGAAATATGAACTTGTGTACCAGTTTTTCTTTTTTAAGTAAAAACGGTTTCAGATGTTGGATATCTAGACTAGCTCAGTCGGGCTCACTTACCCAAAAATAGGTTCAAACATTCAATATACAAATCGGCATTTCACTCAAAAATTTGAACTAAAGATGATTTGGGGATTGGAAGGACAAAACTAGGAACTAAGCTTTGTCCTAACTGTTTGGGGTTGGTTGCATGATTCCTGTTCCACTATTATGCTCTATCAAGGGCCACAACTTCTCATAAGTTTCTATATATTTTCTCACTGATTCCGTCTATGTCCTTTTAGGCTTTCTCCTTGTCCTTTTAAAGCCTTCCATTTATACCAAGTCACACCTCCTGACCGGTAATGCATTAGGTCTACGCTGCACATGACCCACCCACCTAAGTCTCACTCATCTTATTGCTAATTGAAGCCAAACCTAAGTTCTTTTAAAAATATTACTTATGAACTCTAATTTTTTGCTTTAACACCCATTCATCTCAACATCCTCAACTCAATTGCACTCATCTTATAGGTATGTTGTATTTTAACCACTTAACATATTGTTCTATAAAGCAAAGCTAGTCTTATAGCTATCATAGAGAACTTCCCCTTCAACTTCATTGGTATTACGACTATCACATTAAACTTGGATGTACATCTTCACTTCACCTACCCAGCTCTAATCTATGTCCGATAAAACTAGGAACCAAACATAAAGTAGAAAATTCATGGTATTTTCCTTGAATTTCCATCTTGTAAAGAAAATTTTCACAAATTTCCTTAATAAAAAATAATAATAATAAATATGTAATAACAATAATAATAATAATAATAATAATAATAATAATAATAATAATAATAATAATAAATCAATTAGAATTTATCATAAAAAGTTTATATAGAGTGGAGGCTCTAAACAATCAAATTAGAACCCACCTCAAAAATTTAACTAGAAGAGGTTGTTTTGATACCCAAATATCATCAAAATGATCATCTCAACATCCAGATGCATGGACATGAGAAAAAAATGGATTTCAAGTTTTGAAAATAGTGCATATTCATGACGCATTTTTGGACTGTCAATTTTCAAGTTTTCATATATCTGCTCAATCTACACTATTTTTTAAGCTTTAAATTTAATGATTAAAGGTAAAAATATCTTTTAAGGCTATCACAGAGATTTTCAGTATTGGAACCACATTTGTCGACATTATTTGAAGGTGCGCTTTACTTTGATTGTTTAAAGCCTCGGCTCTATACAGACCGCACCAATAAAAATATCATAAGAGATTAACTATTTGATGTTCTCCCTTCTTGCAACTATTCCAACTCAAAATCTTTTTTTAAATTAAATCAATTGGTATAGTAAGGTATTAAATTGTTCATTTCTAATAAGTAATTTGATAATTTTTAAAATAAATAATATCCATAATAATAACTAAAATAATAAGCAAGTTGTTTTGGCCTAGTGGGTTAAGGGTAAGAAATCCACTCTTGTAACCTTCAAACGTGCGAAACGTGGCCAAGGCAAACTTAAGTGGTCTTGGATAGATTGTCGGTTAGTGCATTTCAACCAATTAAATGTAACTAAGAAGCATCATAACTTTATTATTTCGAATACGGGAAGAGTTTGATGGCTCTCCACTTTAGCTTTTTATTATGGAAAAAGTTTATATAAGGTTGGAACTTTATATTGTTGAAGTAAGGTGCACTTCAAAAAATTTAGAGAGGAGAGTGACTATCTTGACATCGAGATGATTGAATACGAAGAAAAATAAAAGATTTTTTACTCTAAAAAATAATGCATCTGGTAACAAGTTATCTAGACCATCTATTTTTAAGATTTTCAAGTGTTTCTTGATTTGCTCCATCTGTACAATTTCTGAAATTTTAAATTATATAATTGAGTATAAAAAGAGATTTTCAAGTCATCATAAAGCTTTCACCATCAAAATGATATCTCTAAGATTTTGAAATGTTTATCGATTTACTCGATCTATACAACTTTTGAAATTTTAAATTATATAATTCAATATAAAAAGAGATTTTCGAACCATCATAGAGCTTTCGACACCGAAAGGAGGCGACCTTATACAAAACACACACAAGGGTGAGCAAAATAACTCAAACTCAAAATTCCCCCCTCCTCTCTCTCTCTCCATCATAGATTAGTGGCTGATCCACTTGTGGCAAAGTGGTTGACTATTGAATTCTCCCTTGCATTGGATCTCGTACCAGGCTTTTCTCTTTGTGTTTTTTAAATGTCAACCAATCAGTTTCCTTAACTGACATCAGAAAGCTTATGATCCATACCTCTATAAAAGAAATATTTGTTTGGAGTAATCCTTAGCCAACTATATCCTTTTTTACCATTTCATTGAAAATAACTTATCATGTTATGCACTTATGTGGCACACCTTCATAAATTACTATATATATTGCAATGTATCCAGTCGAAAAGCACACTTTTTGAAGTGAAAGTATACCAATATTGAATATAATGCTTGAGGGGGACTGTGCATAGTTGGAACTACAGCTCATCTCCACCGTCCACTATTAATGCACCGCCAATTTGTGGTCTGCCAAACAAAGAATGTGTATTGATTACGAAGTTTCATACGAGTCGAAAATGGTGGAAGTCCATTGTGTTTGTGTTTGATAGTTGGTAGTTCTTCTACCTGGGCATTATGGAATCAGTGTTTCTAGACTTACGTGGCTAGCGCAATCTTGCGTGACTCACCCAAGTCCACTCGGACACGGGCGAGTAACTCAAGTCTTGCGCACTCGAACACCGGGAACTGATATGATCCATCGATAAATATCAAAGATACAATGTCTTGAAAGATACGGTTTTACAGTTTCTTGAAAAATAAGGTTTTTATAAGACAACCGCTTTTACAGTTTCTTGAAAAATAAGGTTTTGATAAGACAACCGCTTTATACATTCGCACCAATAAATCCTGCTTGAAAACTCAGAGCTGGCACCCACAAGACAATTGTGGCCTGCAAATCCACTTTCGCCATTAAAGTGTGAAATCTTAAGTTCCAAAAATGATGCATTTGAAGTCCGAAAAAAGATTTGTAAAATAGACTACTTTCAAAACTCAAAATCAATTCCAAATCCATGTCCATCATGATGGACATGATGGATTTGCAGACTTTCTTGTGCCAGGATATTGCAGCAAGATTTGGACCTCTTGCTGTATACAGCAACATGGTCTTATGAAGTTCTTAAATGCAAAGTAACAACGATCATATGATCATTGACAAGGTAAGATCACAGGTGTCATCACTGTCCAATCGGTTGACCGGCGAAGATGGGTGAAGAATGAGACCTACCGATTACCTATACAATTTTGGGTCATTTAATTCTCATGGGATCCTTTGTTTCTCCATCACCATTCAATTAATTGGATGTTGATAACATTCACGACCATAGCTTTTCCACATTTCATGTCTGATACTATATTTTTCCTCCTTAAAACATCTCTACCCAGGCAAACATTGAACAGTAATAACATTGAATATGCAATCCAACATAGTATATTTAATTGGTTGAACAAAAAACCTAACGCTTGGGTACCCGAATTGAGAGAACCATGTGCAAATCAAGAAGCATTTGAAATTGAACCTGCTAAAAATATTAATTTTAATCATAAAATTCATCGGATGATGAAGCTGTAGAGTCATCTGCAACAATATTCTGATCTATAGTTGAATCGTTTTCGGTGATGATATTCTGATCCTTCCTATACAATTTAAGGTGATTATGGTAATCCTCCAATTCTTTCTCCATCCTCTCAATGAATTGACTTGTATGTTCAAGGCTCTGCTCAAATCTGTATTTTTCAAGGGCCTGCAATGTAAAATTAGGGTAAAATGTTCAGCAACCACAGACAAATGGCAAGAACTGAGAACAAATTTTTGAACGATAACAAGGCAAGCATTAGAACATATTCTATGTTTGGTTATTTTTACTGTTGCAAATTTGGAATGAGGCCCCGACACCCCTGGCATCTGATTCCAATTTGCCCCGTTAGACTAGGGCGATTCCAGAGTCGGATCTGGTTATATTTAACAAAGAAATTAAGAAAAGAAGCCAAATAACTGGGAGAATTAGGCGATTGTGCGGTTCCTCGAACCGGAATCACCATGCTCCCAATTGCGAGCCAACTAGGGAAATTTGGAATTTGCTAGGCCATTTATAGATCATAGGTTATACAAGGTTTTCGAAGAAGATCTTGCATAGAAACATGAGATTTTACTGTCAATGTGTGCATATATAAAGCTACAAGCCAGTAATAATGCTGTATCGGTAATGATATGGGAGCCCATTTTCTAAGTTCGTGCTTGTTAGGTGCTTATGCTTGTGTTCATGTCACTGCAGATTGTCATAGATTAAATTTTATTTTATAATGGACTACTTTTGGCCTCTCAACATAGTGGCTAGAACCACTGTGGGTTTCAAACCCCAACTTCCCAACATCGTAAAGAAATATCACAATAACAGTCCAAAATTGGGTCTGTCAAAGGACACAAGTGACATTTTCATCGGCTAAAGATACATAAGACGTGGCAGAATAGTGTCTCAAAATCTGACAAGATAACGGAAGCTAATCACCTAACCACATGATCTCAATGAATCTTGAAGGACATGCCCAACCTTGGCTATATAGTGTCATAGGAAGCTCCTTGCAACACTCAAATATGAGGTGATGAGTGAGCAAGAAGCCTACAGAAATAGAAATCACTGAAATGGAGATGAGGGAGAAGAAGGTCTACAGAAATAGGAATCATTGGAATGGAGCAGAGAAAAGCTATGCAAACGCTCTGGAGAAGGAGTACTCTAGAATGGTGAGGAAGGATCTAATGAGCCTTCAGGAAGAGTGTAGGTGTTATTTAAACATAATGCATAATGTAATATTTATGTTAATGATATTTTCTTAGCAAAATAAATTTACAAATCTAATCATAAAAATATAGATCGTACTAAAAACATTAAACTGAATTTTACATAAAATAAAAAATAATGATTTCTCACATATAGAGAGATAGAGGAGAGATTTACAAGTTTGAATTTGATAGTCTACTACTAATTTTTTTGTAATTTTTATAATATTTATCGAATTAATGAATTACCTAGTTTTGACAGGGAAGCATATACATACCACAAACTTTGGTTATAGAAATCAAACTACTGTTTACACCTAATTGTGCAAACTCTTGAGTTGCAAGCATATTTGTCAATTTCATCACATTGAATGCCACATTATTCAGATATAGAAAGCCCAGTATGATGTGAGGGAACAAGTGATGTCATCATGAAAGGTGGAATACCCTGTAGTAAAGCACAATGAAAGTAAATTATAATCCCATAGCCCACAGCTACATCGATAAAGTAGTGGAGCCACAACTATCAAATGAGATGATGTTGTGGAAAGAGTGGGATCCACAAGAATAGTACATGAAACCAAACGTGTCCAACACCCTCTTCATCACCATCCATCATTTTAATGGTAAATGACCTGAATAGACCAAGCACTCCAAACTTCCAAGGTCAATTGGATTATAGTATTACTCAAAGCAAATATTACTGAGTACTTACGTTCTGCTTTGACAAAGTATCAGGAGGTGACATGACCTTTGGCCGCACATAATTCTTTCCTCGGAAGAATATTATAGTGTTGTCGGGTTTGATGTCAATAACAATGCCTTTACTTAGCCTTGCTAGCTCCTCAGCATATACATGCACCTGACCAGGCCTGCAAGGCGTGAAAATAACTTTCACAGTTTCATGCCTCTTCCAGTGGAGATGCATGTTGAGAACTACACCCCCAAAGACTCCTCGGCGGCCCACTGGAACATAATTCTTTCTTTTCTCCCCTGTTCTTTTGAGGTAAAATTTCTCTTCTTCTGTCAAGCTTTCAGGGTCGTAAACCTGCTGCGGAGCCTTTGGAACCTCGAATTTCCTCAGCTTTTCAATTAGCCATTCTTCTTTCCTTTTAGCCTACCACACACCACACAAACATAAAAATGTCAAACGATAAAAATAAAATTAAGATTAATTGAAGCATAACTTGTTAAGTTTTATAAATTCTATAACCACAGCCAACTTATTCTTTACAACCAAGGTGTTTCTATAAATATATATATATATATATATATATATATAGGGCAGTGATTTCATGCAACGGATGTATCATAATATAATGCAACCACACTTCTAGAGAACTACATTTGTGATATTCGTATGACCCAAACTTTTGCACACACACTCTCTTCATCTCAATAATCAATCTTAAAAAAAAAAAAAAAAAACTAATTTGCACCCTATATATGGTCAAAATGAGTCCCCTCCAACAATTAATCTAAACTGTCCATTTGATGAATTTCAAGATCTAAGCGTCTATGAATTCAAAATCATTTTTTTCTTTTTTAATATTTGTTAATCTAATGTTAATAAAATTATCTAAAAATTTTGAAAAGGAAAAAGATCATTCTAAGGCCTAGGTCTAAGCATCTCACCAAAATGGACGGCCTATATTAATTGGGATAAAAAAAAATTCTTTCTAGGTTGCATTGTTAAGTTTTTCTTTTTTGTGATTGTTCATTAGAAAGAAAAGAGTGTATTTTAAAACTTGGATCATACAAATGACCCTAACATAGTTTTTGAAGGTTGTTGCATTATATTACTATACAACCATGAAATCACTACCCATATAGATATATATATATATATATATATATATATATATATATATATACTATGTCAAGATGAATTTCGATTTTCATTATTTCAAGCGAAGATAGATGCCAGGCTATTCCCACAAGCTGAAGTAGCATGAATGGTATTCAAACCATGAAATGGAATACTTCATGCAACCACCATTTCACATGCAATTGTCAAAACAAATATGAACAGTGAACCCACCAACCCTAGAAAGCTTCTTCTTTATTTGTGTAGATGAAAAGGTAATAATTCATAGAACAAGTTATTAATTTGTTTCAATTGTTTATGATAGGTTGTACGAAAAAACGATATCATCTTTTGGATAGAGCAAAAGTCCCATTTTCTGAAGGGAAAGGTTTCTATGCTTCCCCTACAGCATAGAAGTTCTATCCTCCCCCTACCATCCAGCCATCCAATTTTGATCAAGAGAGCCACTCACCGTTTGATCTTAGATCCGACGTCTCAAAGATTTTATTTTTAGTTTTTTTTATACAAATTGTATGAATATGAAATTTGGTACATGCCATCTTCTCATTAGGGCGCACTTATAAAAAATATTAAAAATAATTTTTTGATAAAATATAATGACCAAAATACCTCTTGAAACTTTCAGGGGTATTTTGGTCATTTTATTTTAATGAAAATATTTTTTTTTTTTTTATATTTTTCGCTAGTGTGAGTTTAATAGAGAAATGGACGTCCAAAATATGGTATCAAAATAGTTTATAGAAGAAAAATTAAAATAAATTAGTGTAGAGATGTGACATTGTGACTGAGGCAATCCTAGCCTTTCATTCAAAATGGATGGTTGGATATGGGGGAAGATAGAACTTCTATGCTGTAGGGGAAACTTAGAAAGCTTGCCTTTTTTTGAAATAGATATTAAAAAGGAAATGTATAGAATGAGACCATTTACCTTTGGTACAAGATGGTCACATCATTCTTGATCATTGGATGTGAAATTGGGTGGCGGTAATTATTTCATTGACCAAGCTCAAACTTCAAAAGAAATTTTTTTGAACTGTGTCACACATTCAAGCTATCAAATTTCACATCGGATAGTTGTGAGTGATTGTGACCACCTTGTATCAAAGGTAAATGGTCTCATTGTATACAAACCCTATTAAAAAACACAATAACAATGAAAATAGGTAAGAAACTCACATTTTCTAGGTCCAACAAAACAAATTGTAGGTATGTAAGGAGTTGAATTGAGTATTATGATCTAATGTACTTTGAACGAACCAAAGTCTACTGGGTCACCATCATCTATCAAAATGTCTGGACGATGATGGAGAGTAGGACCCACTGACTCTCCATCACTGTCGATTATTTCAATGGACAGTGATTACTCAATGAACTACAAATTTTACAAAGTCCAGTATATTATTAGTGTACTTCCTTAAAGGGTTATGAAATCGATCTCCATAATTCCAAAAACAAAAGCGCGGGAGAATGAATGAACTCAGAGCAATGTCATATGGCAAACCTTTTCCAGCTTGTATCTAATCCTAACTTCAGGATTTGGGGATTTCATTTTCTTTTTAGCCTTCAAGCGATACAGCCTCAGCTCATTGATTTTTGCTTTCTTGGACCTTTTCTTGTACTTGCGCACTTGCTTGCCCCTTCCTCTCCCATTGACCTTGCTAGCGGGTTCATCGAGACCAAATTTCACAATACCATTCTCTGTTTCCAAGTTGACCAAAGCATTGCTCATAAATCTCTCATGTTGCCACTTCTTCCTTTTCAATGAGAAGTTGGAGGTTAGCATATAACTTTGGCCATGGTGGGTGAAAGATGAAAAGGAACATGAAGAAGATGGAGATCTTTGCACTAATGGGCAGGCACACAAAGTTTGAACAAGTATATTGCTGAACCCTTGCAAAGAGGCCCTGTATAAGCTCAATGAGCTTTAGATAACGCTCCCCAATGTAAAGAAACATTTGATACAAGAAACAAGCACCTGAACCTCAAAAGTCGGAGACTCATCTTCACTACATGATTGCAAGGAAGTTAAAATTATAAGACTACGTTATCTCATTGCTACAATACAATGAAACTCAAATATGCACATCTACAACCATCAATTACAAATTTCTACCTTCCTATCAATTTTATCCATTATTCAATCATGGAACTCTCACATTCACAAAACTCATTCTACAAAGCTGATTTATAGTAACAATTCTTCATGCTTCTTCAAAATTTGAACAATCAAACATTAGTGTCATGCAGTTGAAGAGGACAAGAGGATAAAAGATTAGATTCTTACACTTTAAAATAATACCCACCATTATGAGACTATTCGAGCCTTCAATGTACTTCCTGTTTATATCCTTTGATTCACCAATGCGAGGCTAGAAATTGCACTCAGACCCTCTAATGGTTACGCTAAAATTTGAATATTGAGACCCTTAGAATTTACTTTTAAATACTCTTACAAGCTTGACATTTTGCGCTAAGAAAATAAATTATATCATTGCCATGGTCAAAGCCATCAAAGCAGTTTTATAGCTCTAAGATTCATGTATGGTGGTGTAATTCTCATGCTTCAGTTATTAATAGAGCGGGACCAATTACACAACCAATGGCTAACGGCAATTGTGACCTTCTTGCACAAAAGGTCAATGGTTTTATTTACTTTACCATATAATATATACATTTTATTTTTTTGGCATTTTGACTTGGACCCGACTGGACAGGGTCCGGTTCAGGTACTCCATCGAGTCAGTCCGACCTTACCCGTCCGCACCCCTATTTTCCCTACAAAGTATAACTTTTATCCAGTAACTAAAAATATATGTTTTCACAATAGTCGTTACCATATGAGATCAGTTGCATGTAAAGATTTGCCTTGAGAATTCTTTCTTTCTTTTCTTTCCATTATGTTTTTTAACAGATAAGGACCATTTTAGTTCATCGTAGAGATCTAACCATTGATTAAGGAATTCAACATCAATATAAAATGTAAAATTCTATTTTACGATAACAATTCAGTATCAGTGGTTTTTGGATTCACATCTCACAAAATTTAACACAAATCCACAAAAATAGAATAACTGGCACAATAAAAAGGTAAAACAAGAAAGTTATCAACTTCATCAATTAATACAGAAAAATGAAAAAGGAAAATAATCAACAGATAATTATATATTAGGGGAAATCCATATGGAAATAATAACTAACAAAAAAAACAAAGTGAAAACGGTTAAAAAAGAGGAAAAATTACCTGATAAACCTTCTTTCACGAAAACAGCTAATTAAAAATGCCATCAATCACCATAGCAATAGCTCCATATTTGTTGTAGTAAAAAGATGCGGAAGCGCTTTCTTTTCCAAGAATTTGATAGGTTCTCTCTGCAAAAAAACCAGATGGTAAGAGAAAGCCTAACTCTCGAAGAACAGTGGTAAAAGACTGAAGCTTTTCTGCAAAAGATTAGGGTTTTAGCTAGGGATTTCCCACTTCTTTTCAAAAAGAAATGATGAGAGCGAAAGTCCCCTCTTTCCTGGCATTTTAGAGGGAGAAAGTAATACGATACACGTAAGAAAATTTACCATGTATATGGTGCACCATCAAGCATCCATCGACCCCCTTTGGATGACTGACGGTTGAGATTAGTCATGCGCATTCTAGTTCTCACAATAGGGAGATACAATTAATCTCTATCGTCCATTATCAAAAGCAATGGTAGATTTCGATAGTGTACCATATGCCATACACCAATGGTCTTTGGTAGATTCAAGAACTTGCCCTATATGGCTCCTAATCAACTTCAAATCTCTAAGGCCCGGAGGCTCCCTATCAAGCTGTTATCAAAGTTCAGATTCAACACACCACAAGGGAGAGGTTTCCAACTACCCACCACTCTGCAGTTTCTTGACTCCCAACTTAGCAATTTCATGTAAATTATAAATAAAATTGCAATTTCAAGTTTTTATAGATTTGCTCGATATGCACAATAATAAGAGGCGGAAATAGATTTTCATAGCATTGTAGGGCTTTTCAGCGCTGAAATTGCATCTTCCAATTGGGGTTTTAGAGGTGTTTGTTCGGTTGCAAAAGGTTCACACCTTATATAAACCTTATCCTCCCATAAATTTCAAAACTCATTTTGACATTTCAGTTGATGGGCTATTCGATCAAAGAATGATGGAATTTGAAATTAAATAAAAAAATATGGGTAATATGTTAAGGGGTTGTATACTATGAGAACATTTATCTTTATTACAAGGAAGTCACAATTACTTCTAGCCATTAGATATAAAATTGGATGGCTTGGAGTGTGTTACAAAGTTCGTGAAATTATTTTTGAACTTTGAGTCTAGTCAATGACACTCTTACAACCACCTGATTTGAAATTAGATGGACAAGAATAATTATGACCTCTTTGTACTAAATGTAAATGGTTCATTTGTATACTTTTTCATATGTTAAAATAGTTCAAATATTAAATGTAATTTGATAGCCCTTTTATATATGTTTAGAGAAATTTGGCCAACTTAATTAGATGGATGGATTATTAAGAGTAAGTAAACAATAATATCATGCATTGGTTTGAAAAATAGCTACATCCAGTATGTGACATTACTTCATGCTCATTCTCAACCATTTGATCAATATCGAATCACTACAGGTCTCCAAAGCCTAAACATACATAAATAATAATAATTATAGGAAATAGTTTATATAAGGGTGAGGCCCTAAACAACCAAATTAAGTTGCACATCAAACATTTACTAGAGGAGGTTGTTTTGATGTTTCAAACCCTCAATTCAACTCTATCTCAATGATCAAGAATCACAATTGCATCTATACCCAACCAGATGACATAGAATTTGCAATTGTAGATTTTTTTAAGTCTCTTTACATGGCTCCCTTTGGACCTAGACCCATAATGTCCTCCCTGGAATTTTTGAGCCTCTCTGACGATAGGGCACTGTGGTTAGAGAGACCTTTCACTGAAGAAGAGATCCTGCTAGGAATTGATGCCCTATCCAAGGATAAAGCCCCCGGACCAGACGGCTTTCCAATAGCACCATTTAAGGCTTTTTGGGACATTATTTGTCCTGACTTTAAACTCTTCTTCGATGAGTTCTTCCTTCGGAGTATACTGCACAAAGCAATTAACACTACATTCATTGCTTTAGTTCCCAAAGTGGAAGGAGCAGAGAAAATTAAGGATTTTCGCCGCATCAGCCTGTTGAATTCATCCTAAGAAATACTTGGCAAAGTCCTTGCTACCAGACTCCAACAGGTACTCCCGTCCATCATCTCCTCTTCCCAAACTGCATTCATAGAAGACAGATAGATTCTCAATGGACCCTTAGTGGCTCACGAGTGCATTCGCTCAAGACGCCTCGACAAAATTCCTGGTCTGATCTTCAAAATCGACTGGGAAAAAGCTTACGACCATGTTGACTGGTCCATCTTGGAAGAGACGATGTTCACAATGGGTTCCGGAAACCGGGAGAAAGTGGATGTGTGGTTGCTACTCGCACCCACATTTTTCTATCCTTATCAATGGTCCCCAAGAGGGTTCTTCTTTTCTACAAGGGGTCTTCACCAAGGAGACCCCCTCTCACCCTTTCTGTTTGCTATAGCTGTTGAAGTCTTCAGTCGCTCCATATCCCGGGTGTTTCAGGCAGGACTACTCTCCGACTTCAGGAGCAGTAGACAAGGCCCAACAGTGACTCATCTGCAATATGTAGATGACACTCTAGTGTTCCTTGACGCCTCCCCTAGGGAAGTGGATACCCTGAACATGTTCCTCAATGCTTCCAAAAAGCAACTGGCTTCAAAGTAAATATGGAAAAATAAAAAATGATGGGAGTAGCTATTTCTAATGCCGATATTAGAGGGCTCATTCCTAACTGGGAATGTAAAGTGGAGGACCTACCCACTACTTATCTAGGACTCCCTCTTGGACTCGGCAAACCCAAAAAAGGACAATGGTCCCATGTTATTGATAGGGTGGATAGACGCTTAACAGGATGGAAAGGTCGTCTTCTCTCTATGGCAGGTAAGACTACCCTTATTAAGGCTATGTTATCTAACTCTCCTGTCTACCTTATGTCTCTCTTCCATATGCCTGCTCTCGTGGCTAATCGCTTGGACCAGCTAATGCGAAACTTCCTTTGGTCGGGGCAAGCTCAGAAGACTACATTCCACCTTGTTGCTTGGGATAATATCTGCCTTCCGAAAAACCAGGGTGGTCTAGGTATCAGGGTTCTCAAAAAACATAATCTTGCTCTTTCAGGCAAGTGGTGGCGGCGTCTTGCTACCCAGCTTGACTCCCTTTGGGCTCAAGTTCTCAGACACAAGTATAGGATACCTGAAGGAGCCTGGGTGCCAGAAAATTCCCACGGGCATAACGCCTCAGCGGCATGGAAATCCCTTTCCTCGGCTTTTTCTCTCTTCAAAAAACAATTAAGGTTTCATCCAAGAGAGGGATCCCGTGTGAGATTCTGGTCAGATTTATGGCCGGACTCTTCACCTTTGAGGGAGGCATTCCAAGCTCTCTATTCGTTGGCGGTCAACCAAGAAGCAACAGTGGCGGATGAATTGGTCCTTACAGGTGAAAGGAGAACATGCAATCCCTCTTTTAGGAGAAACCTAGCCGAAGAGGAGTTAACCTAATTCCAGCTACTTCTATTTGGCCTTCACTCTCACTTTATTTCCAACCTAGGGAGAGATGTTATAGTTTGGACGCTAACTCCCTCGGGTGAGTTTTCAGTGGCTTCATTCTATAAAATACTTTCTCCACCCCCTACCTTTCCGGCCAACCCCATCTCTATTGCCTCGAAAGTGTGGGCTACTCTTGCCCCACATAAGGTCCAAACGTTCAACTGGCTAATCTGCTCTCATAAAGCCCTTACTATTGATCATCTTCAGAAGCAAGGGATTCCTATTCCCAACAGATGCGCCTTATGAGAAAAAGATGAGGAGTCTAACCCCCACCTTTTCCTACACTGTGACTTCTCTTTTGAACTTTGGGGAAAGATCCTGCAACTCTTTGGCATCGAATGGGTCACGCCACCTACGGTCAAGACTCTCATCTCCTATGAGATTCATACTCCTTGGCCGAAGGCTGGCAGAGCCCTTTGGAAGGCCACCTTAGCAGCTACCCTATGGAATATTTGGTTGGAAAGAAATAATTGTATTTTCCGTAGCTCGAAATTACAAACTACAGTTCTCCTACACAAGACTATATCCTTGGTAACTTTATGGGCCTCGAACCACAAAGTGTACTCGGGGATACCAAGGACCCAATTCCTTCCCTATTGGCAAAATATCCTCTTCCACTACCCAAGACAACCATAGAGATCCAGCTTTTGGCAGCCACTCCCAGAGGGAACTATCAAGTTTAATTTTGATGGGTGCGGTCCGGCAGGGGCTGAGGCGGTCTTTAGAGACCACCAAGGCAACGTTGTCCTCTCTTTCTCAGAGCACCTTGGCTCCATGGAAGCTCAAATTGCAGAAGCCTTGGCCCTCCTTCTAGGCATGAAAAAGTCTTAACCGTTCTTGGGGTCTACACCTCATTGTAGAAGGAGACTCAAAAAATGTTATCTCATGGGTTAGTAGGACGTCCCCCCCAACTTGGTACCTCACCACTACCTTTGATGAAATTGATCATCTTTGCAGGGATATGGACATCTCATGGCGGCATATGTGGAGGACATCCAACGACTTCGCGGATTATCCGGCAAAAGAGGGAGCTAGTAGGCAACTTCAAGACCAAGCTGGGGTTGTCTCCTTTTTTGCACAAGACCTCCAGCTCAGCTCGCCTCCATAGCCCCTCACATGCTTTGCATAGCCCCCTCATTTTTTGGATTTTTTGAAAGCTTCATGTAATTTTTACATTGGGCAGTCTTATAAGCCCTTTTTGTACATGATACATTCCAGTCCACCCCCTGGGAGGTGAACTTCGCCCCCTCTCTATTGTACACTTCATACGCAGTAATACAATGTTAACCTTCTTCAAAAAAAAAACCCTCAATTCAATCATCTCAACCTCAAGATGGATAGACATGAGGAAAAAAATAGATTTCAAGTCTTGAGAATATTGCATTTTATAATATATTATCTAGACTGTCACTTTTCAAGACTTTCAAGTGTTTATAGAGCTGCTCAAGCTACACTATTTTTGAAGTTTCGAATCAAAATCTTGTTTTTCTAGTGTCATACTAGTTCAAAGGTCCAAGTTTTGAATAATATTACTTTCCTAGTGAATGACTGCTTTAAAACTTGAGGTTCTGAAATATATTAGTTGATTTTCCCACCTAAAGATAAATCTTCAATTATCTATAATTTTCTCTCCATCTCACTCTCTCATGTACTCCTCTCTCTCTCTCT